GTTGCCAAGGGGCCGCTGGCCCATGGGCAAGGGGTACGGCTGCTCGAGACAAGCCGAGTCACGTCGAAGTTGCAGTGTTTCTCTGGCAGTATCGTGGCAGTGCTGCAGCTAAACCTTTCCACGGTCCGGTCGGCTGCTGCGGCCTCAGCTGTTTCCCCAGGGACGTCGAGGGCAGGAAGCCGTGTGCCTTTCCACCGCCCGCCCAGAGGCGCAGGGAATAACACCCCCTTGCAGATGCCAAGCGCAGTCCGAGGCACAGCGATTTCCAGTATTTTTGCCGCTATTCTGAAAGAAATGGCGTTTTCAGATTGCTTATAGCTATCAGCTCGCCTGCAGAGAGCTAAAACATGCTGCGAGCATGACCGTGAGGAACCGGATACCCCTGCTTCGGCCGTTCGGGCAGAACACAGAACAGAAGGCTCAATTATTGCTTTAAAAATATGACAGGAAACTTCCGTTTTCACATCCCATTCACGGATAACGAAAACGCACTGAGGATAAGGAAAATCTGGCGAATTAATGAGAGGACATTCTTGAAAATCAGAAACAACAGGAAGGAACGGCAGAGAGGCAGTAATAATTACCATAGCAGCAGTGCTTGCTGCACTGTCATTAAGGTTTGTCAGAGTTTCAGTGATTTTTTTAAAGTGCATTTATTTACAGAATATGTAAAAATGTTCTGTGTTGAGCTCTGTGCTGTAGAAAAGAGTTCAATTTTAATACTTTTTCAGATCATTTCAGCAAAAATGTTTCAGATGGCCTACTTTACAAGGCTAAATCTTATCTCTGTTTTTTATATATATATATACACACACACATACATAAATATAAATATTACCGGAAATGTTATGCTCAATCATCCTTACTCAAAAGCAGTTGGGCTTTTTTAGAGATGCATTTTTATTCCACTGTAGATTCCATCATCCTACTGTGAGGTTGGTCAGTGAGAAACGTGACCATATGAACCTTCTTGAGCAAAGCATGGTGAGCAATACCTCTGAGGGTCATGAAAGAAGATGCTCAGCTGAGTTACAATAATCTGCAAGGCAAATTGGTCTAATCACCATGGTGGGAGACCAAAAAAAGCAGGATTCCTTGGCTCTTCCAGCGGTGCTGCAGTGTAGCCACCCCAAGCCTGGTCACGGTCGGGTCCCTTGGGGCACTAAGGCCTCCCCTGTTGGGACCAGTCCTGATGGCATTTAAATACCAGTCCATGGGCATGCTTCACTTCCTGCCAGAAATGACTATCTTTTGGGGTGATCTGACTGAGTCTTGTAGCCTGGAACCAGAAGCTGTGATAAGGAGGGAGGAAAAAGCCAAGCAGGAGGTAGGAGTTTGGCAGGAGCTGGCTGAATGAAGGATACAAAAGTGAGATCCCTACTTGCGTCCCTACTTCTGAAGGGTTTTTTTTTCCCCCCCCTTCAGAAAATAGCAGCATACAGTAAGGTGCACGTACATATCTGTCCTTATACACACATGTGCATTCAAAAGCAGCAGATTACAGAACATTTATCTTTACAAACTCTGAAAGCCAGTGCTCTTAAGTGTTAGATATGGGAAACTTGTAAAGCAACGATTAGCTTAAAAGATAAAAAGCTAAAACACACATCTTTGAACTGAAACACAGAGGAAGGTTCTGTGGGCAAAGCTTACAGGGAAGGAGAAGGGAACAAATACTTGGAAGCCGGTTGGCTTGGAAGAACAAGGGGCAGTTTTAGGATAGAGTATGGTGGGTGGGAAACCAGGCAGAAAGAAAAGGTCATGAAGTACTTGTTGAATGGAGGCATAGTAACCTTTTGAAACGGAAACAGTCTTCTCACATCTGGCAAGAGCAGAGCTGAGAGATGCAGGTAAGTTAGCAAGCAGGGTGCAAGGGAGTAAGTTAACAAAACCAGATTTGGAAATACATAAACTCCTCTTGTTTTGTGATGATGCAGACAAAGAATCTGTCTTAACTATTTAACTCTGTCTAGCTTCAGTCACGCCTTCAGCCTCTTTCAAGCACGTGGCAATATTTGATGCTAGCATTGCAGTCAGCACAGGTAAATGATGGCTTTAACTCAATGTCCGGCATAGAATTTTACATTTTTCTTATTGTTTTAATATATTGCACCTTGTCACATTAATTTATAAATATATTGCTCTCATACTTTACCTCTACTATGAACCACCCTTCCTCAGCCACAAGTGTTAAAGGAGCCACGAATTTTCCTTTTTTGTAGAAAAACCTGTCTGGAATATCCTTGATGTTATAAACACGCATATGTTCCACAGCTTTCAGTTTTTCATATATCTGCAAAGAAAACAAGGGTTATGGCTATAAAGAGCATACTATACACTTATTGGTACGTAGAAGCATCTGAATTAGTCAATTGGCTAATCCACTCTGACAGCTAGCCATCCGTACATTCAAACTGGGAGTTTGCTGGTCCAAAAGATGATGGCTGTGCAAAATCTGCCTATGTTTTAGGAGATTCTGTAACCTTAGACCATAAAAACATAGGAACCCACAAACTCACATGTACTCTTATAATGCATGCACTCACAAATGTATGCATGTGAGCATGCAGACAAACCAGCAGAAAGCAAACCATTGAGGAAGACAGTAAGCTAAGTAGTGACAAGAAGTATGCTCAAAGACATGATGTGGACTGGGTACAGATGCGGGAAAGGGATATTCTGTCTGGCCTCTGCCACTAGTTGCCCCTCTGCACTGTGAGCGAACAACCAATATCACCTCACCTCTGTGTTTCTTACGCTTAACCAGTCAATCCCTATCAAAGGGATTGCTAGCGCTTAGTTACCTGCTTCATAAGGATGCTGTGAGATTAATCAGTTAGTGCCTGCCACTTTGAAAGTGTACTATGCTACACAAAGTGATTTATTAATAAGAATCATACCATCAGGAATATAACCACACAAATGTGATTAAAACCCAAATTATTCAGAAAAAAGTGTTGTAAAAGGCTAAAGAACACGCTCATATGCTATAGAGACGGTGGCTACTGGAGTGACCAGAGTTTATGTCGCTGCTTACGTGTTAAAAGTCTTCAGGAAGAAATAACTCAATTTTCTGCAGATTCCCATGCAACCAGAATGACAGATTCTTCCCTAACCTTGTAGTGAAGCCCACCCAGCACGTATGATGGGTTTATCTATGTGCAAGGAAGATTTGCATTGCCTGGTAAGGGTGGTTCAGTCTCTGTCGCACATCCATCCAGCACAGAAACTCCTCACCGCATACACAGTCTCCATGAAGAATGCACCAGCATGCGACACTGGGACTCAGGCTGACCCTCCCACCGTGACATAGACTAGAAAGTAGCTCTGGTGTTTCAGCGGTGCTTCTCGTGCTTCAAAATGGGATAACTAAATTTTGAAGAGCAATGTTCTTATGTTATGATATGACCTAATGCCTAATCATTGCTCTTCAAAGTTAATTGGATTATTGGAACCTGGCTTCTAGGAAACGGGAAATCAACTTAATTTTGCTTAAAAAAAACAACATTCCAGTAAGAAATTCTAAAAAGAAATAAAGGAAGAAAACAAAATCATGATATAAGGCACTGTATTTTATTCTATTTGGGGACACTAGGCCTTTTAACGAAAGAGAAACATGTTTAAGAGCTTGCGACAACTCCATGTCTATGCGACAACATTACACTTGCCTGTCTGCGGATCTATCTCGCAAAAATAGAGATCTCTGAGATAAGGCTGAGGAGGGCATATGTAAGTGCTAGAACACCCTGCAGGAACTCTGAGTAATAGACTTGAGCATGTCTCAAAGACAATTTCAAATTCTGGTACTAATTTAAAATGTTCACATTATCACAGCTATAAAATTCCTGGAGAGCCTGTTTGGGTGCAAAAATGGACAAATGTTCTCTTTCAAAAAAATCACAGAGCCTACAACTTATATGCGAGCTACAAAACTGGAATTGGCTAAAATATAACAGAGGGAAACTACATTTTCCACCTGGAGCACAGATAGCCCATTTTGTATATCTACTCATCAATATTCTGAGGACAACATGATGACTTCTTCAGCGTTTATTTCTGGTAAAACTATAATTTACTAGTGCATGAGTTACAGATGTTGCATTTTCATGCTTTTCAAGTAGTTTCCTTTTCTTTTTTTTTTTTTCTGTATTGTTTTAATTTGCCCCTCAAAGTCCTGCCATTCTGGCCTTCGGTGTTTATGATTGATTTAATCAAATGTGCTTACTCTTCAAAATTCCTCAAAGGGGAATATTGTAAAAATGGGCTTCTTCAGTAATTCTAATGGAGTTATTCCTCAAATCTGATGGGAGTTTGTTGGAATGACTGACCTCCTCCAGACCATTTGAAAGTCCCAGCTAGAGTTCAATAGATTGGATAATATATACAATCTTGAAAATGGTTTTTGAGCTAAAATCTTTTAGATACCTATGAAAAGTAGAGAAATTGTGATAGGGTTGAAAGGAGGTATGTGTGCCAAAAAATAGTGAAAGATTATGCTTTTTAATTTGTCTGGTGTTAATTTCTTGCAGATACCACAGTCACAAGAGTGTAAAGTCACAGATTCAAAGCTGAACTCCACCTAAGAGGCTCAGGTTGATTTTTACACACATCTCTGACAGTAGAATTTGGATGTTATGGCCAAACTAGAGAAACAATTGTCGTAAAGAAAACAAACAAAAGTAAACACAACAAACAAAAGTAAAACAAATAAATCCTAATAAGCTGTACTTACCTCTGTGTGCTTCTCTTGAACTGGCCAAAGACTCACGACAGGACCTCGGTCCTTCATTTGTATGGTATCACTCATATTGATGTAATTCTTCAGCTCGATCACTTTGTCTGCCCAAGAGATGTCAGTCATCCCGTGGTCGGAGAAGAGGAGGACATTGACGTCGTGCTGGAGGCCCTTGCTCTGTGAAGCAAGTGCACAACAGCTGTTACATCTGGGAAAGCCCTTCTGCACCCGACCTCCGGGGTCTGCCAGCAAATTTTAAGTCCCATTTGGCCTCCCTCCACTGATTTTGGTGGCAGTACACCAGGAAGAGCACGGCTTTAAATATTCTGCAGGGAGCTTTGCCACCCACTCTAATGGCAGTAGTCCGCTCTTGCTTGCTGTCCTATAAGAGTCTAAGAGGGTACGGCAGATCTGCCAAAATGAATCTGACCCCTACTGAATAACCACTGCGAATGGCCTGCATTAAATGTTCACAGGGTATTATTATCCAAGACACGGAGTGACCACCATTATGATGTTCCTCTGAGGAACAGGTGAATCACTGCAGTAGGGAGATGGTGCCTCTATCCACACCAAAAGAGACTGATGCTCTAAAGAGGCATCCCGTATAAATAAATATATATATATATATAATATATATGTCACCCCATATATGGGGAGCGAAAGCTTGAGCTTGAACCTCTTGAGCCAAACGCATCCTCATGGTTCTTGGTCTGCGAGAGATCCAAATCAAATCTGCTTCCAGATCGAGCATAAATTGCTTTCAGCAAAGCAAGTATCCCTCAGAACTGCTGATCCTCGGGCTTTCCTCTCGTTTTGACCTGAGAGTTTTCAAATGCTGCTTACACAACGCTGCCCTCCCTGTTCTTTTCTCAGCCTTAAACCTAAGCTCAGATTCTCATCTTAATCCAAACTAGACTTGCATTAACGCTATTTTTGCTTGCTATAAAGTGCAAGACGCTGAATCTCAGTCCCACAGAACTGTCGTACCATTTGCTCTTAGACAGGATTTCATCCAATTTTTCTTCACCTCTTGGTCAATATGCCGAGGGGAAAGCCCCTTTGTCATGGTTCCGTCTGTGGCAAAGGTGTTTCCATCTTCCCCTCCCAAACACAATCACTTAGCATTAGACCTTTCATGATTTATTGAAATTGAAATTGTGTTTTCCTCTTCCCATTTAGGCACATAAAAAGCTCTAATATGTATTTACCATTATGAAGAGATATCAGAAATAGCCATAAAAACTACAATTACCCAAAAGCTTGATGCCCTCTCTTTCTCACCACAAAATCATTTAGATAGTGTTTCTAAAGTGAACGTTTGGGTACAGAGTTCTGAGCAGTGCCATAAAAACTACTATAAAAGTTAATTGTCTGATTCCACAGACCTTACCAAATGAGCAGTTTTGATTCATTTGCCTACTATAAAGTCCAGCTGGCAACACAAGCTATAAACAGAGCAACATGTATATTGGTTTATGGTTTCCTGGGGCTATTGGTATAATAATCCACTAGGAGGATTATAATGCCATTTACAAAAATCAGGGAAGTGGTGTCTTAACTTCCACATGATATCAATAGCCCCTGTTTCTGAGGAAATAAAAGTTTATGGCCAATACATCCAATTAATAGGCATTAAATAGGCAGTTTTAAAATATTTTTTCAAATATTATGGTAGGATCTCAAGTAATTGCGGTTTTTGAAAAGGTCTCTCTAACAACTCTTGCTGTAACAGCAATTATTTTAAGGTAAAGGGCACCCTATCGCAATATTGATTCAGCTTCCTTTAACAGCATGTTTCAGCAGCCCAGTCACAACAGCAGCCAACAGCCTTTACGCAGGGCCAGGATGGAGGAGACACAAGGGACAAGGCACAAGAGGCTTTGGGACTTTGAAATGCCGCGTGCGCGGTGAACAACGGGCAGGAGCGCTGGCATTCCTACGAAAAGGCTGGGGAAGGTTATCGCATCGGGTGCAACAAAATACACTCAGGAGCCCCGTTCGCTCACGTCACTGACCTTGATTTGCTTGATCATGTTGCTTAAGGCTTTGTCCACCTCTTTCAAGGCGTTCTTGCGCTGCACGGACGCGGGGCCGTAGTGGTGCCCTTCCACGTCAATGCGTTCGTAGTACACCGCTGCCATCTCTGCGCTGCCGTTGCTAGAGGTTGTGGGAAAGGGAAGCAGTGAGAGGCTGACGGAGACCCTGGGGGCCAGGAGACCGTGCTGCTGCCTTCCCCTCGTGGCCCTGGGGGTTAACATCGTTTTCCTCACCACCGCTTACAGGCACCAAATGCCACAGGAACATTTTCCACTCCCAGCTTGTGGTTTTACTAAAGTCTTCTCCCTGCTGGCGGATTATTCACAGGGTGAGAGCACCCGAGGGCCATAGCAGGCTTTGCCTCTCATCACTTTTGCCGTGATACGGATGCAGGAGAGGGGCCTCTCTGCACCCCAAAGTACCCACTGCTGTGGGAGACACAGCCCACCACGGGAGAAGCAAAGCAGCAGATGTGGGGGCAAGGGAGGGATTTGAGAGGAGGCACGTGGCTATCGGAAACAGTATTGTTCGTATCAGCGGTCCAGGCCATAAGGAACTGGAAAACAACAACTTTACACATTGGCCGCATGTGTAAAGTGGGCCACATTTCCTGAAGAAATAAAGCTTGCGCAGTCACCCTGTCTCTGCTTTGCTCTTCATCAGACCCTCCCAGTAGTTTTGAACCCACTGGCTGATTGCAGCCAAGCCTGCCACAAGGGGAGGCTCAGTGTCTACCTCAGTACGGTGAAGTCCTACTTTTCTAGGAAAGTTTGCAGCTGCAGCAGGAAGGAAAGCAGGAAGAGAAGAGAAAGAAACTGCCACTTGAAATGCTCTAATCACAGGTACTCCCAGTTGACCATGAAGCACAAAACACCCGAAACACGGCTTCGTCAACCCCCTTGCTCACAAAGTTGCTTGGGGTGCTCTGAGACCCACGTCAGAGGTGCCAGGCAGAGATTACTGCGTGCAAACACAGTCTGGCCTAGCAGACCTCTACTGTATCTTTCTATTAAAGCTTTTCCTTTAAAGAGCCAGAAGGAATACTAATTTCTGTGCTCAATGTCCTTATTTAAAAAACTGTGAGAATTACAAGTTAAATGTGCTTTAATTAAGTGTCGGCATTTCTGGCTTTCTCCTGCGTGAGGTCCTCCAAACTGCTTCAGTCATGTCAGGACGCGCTCTTCCATGACCTTGCAGAAAGCAGGACTATGTGACTTGGGGTGAGACTGTAGAAGGGCTTTTTCGTTCAGGAATATGATCAATGAGCAAAGGCGAGCTAAGGCAATCTCAGAGGCAAAGGGGGAGTTGTACAAAGTTAGTTAATCACACGTTTCTGCGCTGAATGCCCTCAGCCTAATTATTAGGGATAGCGTATAAATCAATGCCTAATTACGTTTTCATGACCATTTTCCAGTTCATTGTGAAGCTTACTGAGAGCGGTCTTGCGGATAAAAATGCAAATCCATGCTCATGAAGCTCAAACCTAGTCTTTTTCTACTGTGCTTAATACATGACAGGGTATGTCATCCATAATATACACTCTTTTCTAGATCAAAATCCCTACAAAAAGATTTTGTGTGTTTTCCTGACAGGTCTAGCTTCCCTTACTAAAGACACGCTAATAATGTGCAGTAATGAGCCAGACAGAAGAGATTAAAAAAAAAAAAAGAAAGAGGTCAGAAACTGAAAGCATGACTTAGGGCCTACCATTGGTGTTTGTGAGTTTGCTAACGGCCTCAACAAGGGATCCCTGTAGGAAGCAGAGCTCCTCTGCCAGAGCAGGGAATTTCTCCAAGTGACACTTCAGAGCAGTATTCCTTCTAATTCTTTGTGATTTTAAAAGCATCCAAATGAAGCTGCTCTTCCTTTCCCTTGCCTCGATTTTCATTTTCAGCGTTACTTTCCCCCTATATCAGGCATACATTAATTTTTAAAATGTAACTCTGTATTACATACAAACTCATTGAACCTATTGCAACAGTTTTCTTCTTCTGGAGTGACTGTATTGTTTAACCAAGCCCACGTTATGTTGCATGCTTAGCAGTTTGCAGGGTTGGGTACAGCACATCCATAACCTACTAAATTGAATAAGTCTTTGCTTCCATTTTAGACTGTTTTTCTAAGAAAACTAGGCTTTTCTGAACATGGTTTGTCATAGGGGAAGTAATCTGTCTTTCTAACTGTGTATTAGTCCCTGTCTTCTCCCATCACAGTAACTTTTGAAAGAAATTGCTAAAGAAAACCTGCTAAAGAAAGTTGGACAGCACCTACGGCTATACGAAAGACGGTTTAGTTTTTCAGCACACTTTGCAAGTGCCGCAAAGTCTTCATGACATCTTTCCAAGAAGGTAAATAGATTGCAACAGCCCTCACATTACGGCTGCGGAAAAGCTATAAGGGGGGTTTTAGTTTAACTTGCCAAAAATTGGTTTTTGACTTGGTTTTGAACATTTTTATTCTAAATAATGTTCTCAAAAGGCCTGTTTGAACAGAGAGTTTTACTGAAAGACAGTTTCCTTTGAGTATAAGAGATGCCCAGTGGCTCCGTGATGAGTTACTCCTGCCCTCGCTGAAGGCATTGATAAAACTCCCTTTGACTCTGGTAAAGTTAAGATGGGATGGGATGTTCCCATGTCTAAATTCAAGTTAATCCCTAGACCACCGTGCCACAATGAACGATCTTACTCTCCTTCCCCTAAAGTCCCTGAAAGGTTTACTAGCGTGGGAAAGTTTTGCTCAGCGGGAGCATAAGTAAGTGCAAGTCATTAAGCGCTAATACCTGCCTTCAGGGCAAAGCCACAGCTCACCAGCTGCACAAGGACCTGCTCTGGGCGACACAGCGCCCCTGCCACCAACTGTTTTCCCACATTGAGCTAGCGCCAGCCTCGGGCTAATTGACTTTTCGGTTAGGGGGCAGAGAGGAAACGCGCTGGATCTGCCAGCTTTTGTACAGCATCAGGAATCAGAAACTCTTTCAAAAGATGTACGTAACAAGAAAACGCCACTCAAGACTCTTCTACCCAGAGATGTTAAGTCCTGCTAAAAGAGTGCTCTAAAACAGAGGCATTTCAGAGGCTTCACTTCTTACGGGCTGGCCAGCAGCACAGAAGAGTGTTTACTGAGTCTTAAAGGACTGAACAAAGGCGATAGATGACAGGGAAAAGAGACTGAGAGAAAAGATGAGGAAAAAACTTACTATCTCTCTTTCTCTTTCCTTTTCAATTTGTTCTGTGCCCTCCTTTCATACGGTAAGTCCCTGATCTGCTCTCTTTTGGCAAGCGCCAGCTTGCACCACCGCCTCTCTTGTGTCCCTGCCCGTTTCTTGTTTTTCACTGAAGGCAGCAGCAAGCGGCCTTGTGACTCTGGGTGAATTAGCTATTGAAACACTTTCAATGGGCTCCAGCTATCCAAAAGAGCAGCCTCAAGGGCTAGAGCTTTTAACAGTTCATGCCTTGCTTTTCATGCTGTTCAGAGTGACAAAGCTGTGACTCTTCCCAAACAGCCCTACGCACCTCGCTTCACACAGACCAGTCAGGAAGTTTCAGGCACATCCTGGCCCATCCACAAATGATACACGACCAAAAAGCTTTCCAGGCTAATTCTGGCTTTCCTCCAGAAGTCAGGCCCAGTCCCTCTACTCAGTTTCCCGTTCCCTGCATTATTCACTGAATTAAAACCATTGCAGCAGTTCTAGAAAAGCCTCCTACGGCACCTTTGAACTCCTCATGTCATACACAGATAACTTTCTTCAAATGTAAACTAAATTATTTCACAATCAAATGCCTCACATATTCTGAGACAGTTTCTCTCTAAACCCCATGTTGTAAACTACGGTCTACCAAGAGGTGATTTGCGAGCATCTGCGAGCAGCAGCCGGGGGGCCACTGGGAGCGACGGCTCCATCAGCACTCTCATCGTTGTGGAGCCTTTATATCACAGAAAAGAAACTTGGCATCTGAATACCGGACTTTTCAGATTCAAACAGCTATAGCAGTTTGCAAGTAATGAATTAAAAGTGCATCCTGGAATTGGAGAAATTACAGAACCAACAGTGTTTCAAAAGAGGAAGCCTCGTTATAGCTAAGGTAAGGCCTACGCTATGCATGTGGCTGCGTAGTGGCAATAACTCAGATCTTCCCTGATTTGACAAGCTATATGTAATTCTCCCTGGTTAACACTTGGATGAGAAATGGGGGAACTGGGAAGCTGGGTGGAGCGTATTTTTTTCCAGGAGCCAGCTGGCTTCACCTATATTCCCATTACACTCACATTAGCACAAAATGATTGCCAGCTCCAAAAACGTTATGCCTAGGAGGTTCTAAAATGCAGAAGGAGCCAAAACATCAGTCCTACAAACAAGTGACCAGAGTTGAATTTCAGAATTCCCAAATTCCCAGCTACTCCTTCTAGATCTAAATATATCAAAGTCTGCTATTGCAGGTAAGTGAACTGATTTTGACAGGCTGATACTTAAGCGGGTTGTACCTCATCTCTTTGGGAATAAACAGCAAAGGAAAAATAGTAAATTGGGATGTCTCCTCTGTGTTGTAAACTCTGAATGAAAAAAAGGAGCATACCTTTTCCTCTGACCTTATTATAACCGCCTATTTCTGTATGTGGTTATGTTTCTATGACGATATTATAAACCAGTCTTGGCTTCCATCTTCCTATCTGGGAGCTAATCCTGAAAAATTGCCCTCCAGCAAGGCTGACAGTAAAACCAAACGCTGTTCCCTGAGCAATGAAACGTCATGCTGCGGAATCGTAGGGACGTACCACAAGGACTCGAGAGCATCGCTGATTGCGTCCGCAAAGTTTTTGTCCGTTGGGACACTGAAGTACTCGCGACAGTAGCTGGGTCTGACTCCAAGGATTTCAACCTCACAACCTACAAATGGAAAATGTGGTAAGTCTTGTAGTTTCACTTTGATTATTGACACGACACTGTGGAGCGCAAGTTCAGGTTTGTAAATTCCCTATGAAGTTACTTATTTTTCGTCTTTTGTGCAGGAAAACTTATGGCTGGGGAAAAGGGGAGAGAGGTTTGTTTGCTGAGTGCCTGCAGTAAACTACACATTGGATTCTTTTATTTCCCCCTTTAAAAATAAGGTCTCTGTGCGACCTTTTCGTGACAAGCTGATTCCCTCGCAGCAGATCATTTCCACCTAAATCACTAGGTTGTTTTCATTTCAAATAATGTGGGCACATATCCTCTATTTCCAGGCTTCCCACATAATAGACCTAGATTTTGTTCCCTCAAAGTTCAGCAAATACTTTCCAGTTAGAAACACTGCATCTTAAATAATAATACCCTCTATAAAGTGTATCTTATTATGTGATACTGGCACTGCACTATTAAATCTATTTCCCCAGAGATCTTATTAAAGCAGTATAAACCAATTAACTCTCTTGGTAAGTTGCAGCCTTTCTTGCAAAATACAGTCTGTTTTGTGGCCCCAAATCTCACGGCAACAAATCCTACAGGAGAACATGGCTCTGAACACACAAGAACATATTTTTGTGGTTTTTTGCCCTTTCACTCTCTGGTTGCAGTACTGAATAACATTAATATTTAAGAGAACTGTGCTTTCAGAAACACTAAGCTCATGCAAATTATATTTGGAGAACTCCAGAGCCCTCCCTTCACAGTTACGCGTTTTTTGATGTATTCCTGGGACACAAGAAAAGATGAGATATCTTTTGCAAAATGGCCTCTATATACTGCAATTCCATCAGGTCAAAAAGTTAACACTAAGCAGGAGCCTGAAACTACCTGCATTTAGGTCACTTCGTCTCTCCCTTGGGATAAAAGAAATAGGCATTAAGGACTGCCAGAAGCTGAATTGTTGCTTGGGAAGAAACAAGGTTGCGCAGGAAGGGTCAGCGTGGAGAAGGCACTCGAAGCAGGCAGCAGCTACTGTTAGAGACCATTTACAGCACTGTTTACTCACGGGGACACTCAATAAAAAAGAATTTGTCAGAGTCCTCCATCTCGGCCTGCATAAACCCACGCTGCTGAGACGCAATACCGGGACACAGGGAAAAGCACACCTCTTGCAGGCTAAGCTGACCAGGAGGCTCAGCACTGCAGCGGGGTCACAACAGGGACTTGCAAGGGATGCGGTGTTGCAGCAGCTGCAGTTCTTCACCTTTCAGCTTTGGCCAGTTGAGGTTATCCACACTACCTCCATCCCCTTTGCTCTTTCCATTTAGGCCAAGATTTGCCGAAAACAGACCTTTGGTGACCGCACAAAGAGCCTAGTTTCAAGAGATGTGAAAGACTCATTAGGTCGAGTTTGGGGAAAAAAAAATGGCTCCAAAGCCAGGCAAGAATGTGAGGACACAATTAGAAACATAAGGCCAATCATGACTAAGTCTAGAACTGACTCCTAATATTTTAGTTCCAGTGAAGGATTGCTCACAGCCAGTGAATAGTATAATGATATAGTCTCTTTTTTCCTGTTCACATACTGACTTCAGATTATAATTTTCTCAGATCTCATTCCTTAAAATTACTCAATAGATAATTTTAACTGATAGTATTAGCCTCCTGGGGATCTGGGATATTTTAGTTGTTCGGATATCTGTATCTTTGCTATTTCTAGATTGTCAAGTGATGAGCATGATAGAAAAGACTAGAGAGGTAGAAATAGTTAGAAGTAATTTTGGCCGCTGAATATTGGTCTGCAAGCATGCGGATCGTTGACAGTAACACCGAGAATTCAGGCTGCTTACATTAGATAGGCAATAAAAGTACATGCACTCTGTGATGAAAATAACTTAAAATTGGATTCTTGGTGTGAAAGTTTGGTACAAATTCCAAAAAACTAACCATGAAGACCTTTTAATAATTAAATTTAATTTTGGTTGAGGCCAGGACAGCTGGTAAATTTTCTCATTTAAATATAAAGGAAAAGGAAATCTAATAAGGATTTGGAGTCGGATAGAGTGAATATTAAGTTTTTCTTGGTGAAAAACCAAATAGATGTGCTGTATTTGCTGAGATTTAGCGTTCAATACCTTTCTGCACAGTTTTGTTTTACAGTAAACTTCTATTTAAAAATCTGAACTTCTGGAACAGGAATAAGGACTTCTTTCACAGTAACATATAGACTCCTCTTTATCTATTTGACATGGAGACTTGAACCTCTGCCAGCTTTAAATTGCATTTCTAAACATTGATTTAACGGTTGGACACTTCTTGTCATAACAAAGTTTTGCAGACTTTCCAGATCAGCTCAATGGTCTGGAAAACGTTGTGTTTAAATGGAAAAAGATTGAATTTAGACACTCTTTTCCCTTTCTCTCATTTCAGTGTTTAGAAAAGAAGTCATTTCACTTCAGCTGAAGCAGTTGCATACACTCCTGGAAAATGAAGCAGTTGCAGGGTTTTGAGTTACGTCATCCATTGGGCTGAGCATGAGGAGCTCTGTAAAGTTTTTGAGGAGCTCTGCAAGGCTTTGACATTGATGGTATCACCAGGTTTTGCTCTTGCACTCCCCTGGAGTTTCACCTTCTGTTGGAAAGTCAATACTTCAGAAAGACAGCCTGGGCTGCTAAACTGCACGTTTGACCTCAGATATGGTATTGGCTATTGGGTATTACTTGGCAATCAACCATTTAGAAGATGCATAACCTTTTGTCCATGAATGGAGACCTGAAGAGCAGAAACTTTTTAATAAACACACTGTGTTCCTGTCTGAAGTAAGCCCCTTTGCGCTGCTGTTAATAAATCAGAAAAACGTTCCTGCAAGCCAAATGCTTACCACGTGACATTTTAACACAAACAATGATTAGGATATGCAGTGCAGCGGTATTTTTGCTCCTCCAGCCCTAGAAGTAGCCTAGCCCGGATGAATTCTGCCTGCAAGTTATCTGGGCTCTGTTTACGTTGCGCTCACAGATAAAGTTGTAATGGATGGGTATTCGTATTTGACAGCTCTTCTGCTTTGTGTCCCTAGTCACCAGGGTTTAGATTTTCTTCTTTTAAACACTAAATATGCACGACAGTGGAATATAAGGAAGAATATGAAGCTGGAGATTTCAGATTCAGCCTTTGCAAAGCCTGGGAAGCAACTCTGATGAGGAAATCACAGTGATACAAGTTAACCCTGAGAAGCAGCTAGCTGGCATTCACAACGCATTTGCCTTATGTTTGATCAGTCTCACTGGATCTTTGTCTTCACTTCTGGCTAGAGAGAAAATAGCACCTCCCAGAACAAAATGCGGTGAATTTGGCTATACACTTATTTTCCTGTTAACAGATTCCCAAACTTTTCCTGTTTGAATCTGTATCCGATTTACAAGATTCATTACTAGTGGAATATCCTTAGGCTGGAAAACTACTAACAGCACATCACTCAGGACAAAAGTCTGTGGGACCTCCACCCACCTTGGTTATTAAAACCTTATATTTTCTTTAATTTCTTTTGGGATTGCTTCTCCAATAGAATGCCATTTTAAGTAGTAAAGCTTTAAAATAATAAATCTAGAAAATTTCAAACAGATTACGCCCTTACTGTGGAATTATAAGGCAGTTCAAAAAGCATATGGGGAAAATGTATCGAATGTATTTATTCCAATTAAAATTGGACTCCTACCTCAGGGCAATTGCCCCGTGGTTTAGTTCAATAGCTCTAAGGCTTGCCCTGCTTCCCCCTCCATGTCCAACCCTTTATGGCCTGTTTGTCCATTGGGACTACGTACATGCTTAAAAACAAGCATGTGCTCAAGCATTTGCTGAACTGAGGCATTAAGGGCTTTGCCCAAGGTTGCCTGTCTCAGGTAATAATTAATGACAGGCAAACGTACATGTTTGTACGTACACAGTCTACAGATAAAATACCAAATCCATACAGAAGCTCCCATTGGCATCAGCAGGTCACGGTTCCACCCTCTGGGTCATAACAAAGTAAATGGTTACATTTGCCACTTGGAAAAGGAATGCTCTACTATTTCTTGTAATTTTCTACTAGAAATACTATAAGTATATATGTGTGTGTGTGTATACACATATATACGCACACACATATGTACACACACACACACGAAAGGTGTGTGTGTATGTAACATATATAGGTATACATACATATACCCCTCATTTGTCTTCTCCATGGGCACCACTCAAAAGCTGAGAGGTCCTTCACTGCTCAAAAGGCTGCAAGAAAGAGCTGGGTAAAATCTAATGCCATTTGATGGAAAGTGATACTGTTCTTTTAGATTTCAGTATCTTTCTGTAGACTAGAGAATTCCAGTACAGTTCTACTTGTAGTTAGAAGTGAATAGGCTAGAGAAATAGGTGTTTTCATAAATTTTTAGAACAATGTCTATATACTTTTATATTTAAAATATTTATATATAAGGCATATTGATATATATTGGTATATATTAAGATATAAGTCAAGATATATATTCAGATTTTTTTAATATAGTCTTTTGTATTTAATTTATATATCCTACTATTTTCATTGCTGTTAAGCCATTTAGGCAATCTCCAGTAAGAAGCTTTTTTGAGGGATGATCCAAAAACATTACCTCCTGTCTGCTCTTCCCGTCCATTGGACTGCATTGGAGTCCACAAGGCAACACTTCCTCACTCAGATCTTTTCTCTCTTCAGTATTGTAGAAATGATCTGGCTAGCTTTTGAACGTAACCATCCTGGTTTGCTCTTTCACCCTTTCCCAAGAAGCGTGATCTTTTCTCTGGAAGACCACTAGCTGCATTGTATGGGACGAACGTGATGGGGCCCACGTGCACTGGGATGGAGGAGATGGGCTGGCCAGGAGCCTGTGGAGTGAGTCAGCAGCCACTGCTCTGACCACTGTCACTGGCTATATTCATGCACTGTTTCTAACACGTGCTCCTTTAGTCGGCAGTTATACATACAAGGATATTTGCATACTGCTTAGGTAGCACAGATAGAGGGTCAAAAAGGTGAGAAGCTGCATATCTTGCATGTAATCTGGTCTGGCTGCACAGCTAGGACCTTTATTTCTATGTGGCTGGTAAACAGACAGCCTAAGCGTGTAGTCCTATAAGTTAAAAAAAGACTTGTTATTACACATCGCTAGTGATTGGATTGACCTGAAGTTGGACCAATATCCAGCAAACCGGAAACTGAAAGACCAAGCCAGTCCAAATGAACGGCTCAGACTAGGGGCCACTAGGACCTTGGCTGTGTTACCGATGAAAGACAATGAACATGCTCACTCCAGCTCACCAAGAAATGCTTGCTTCCAGCTGAGGTTTGCTCTCCCCATAAGGAAAATACACGCTCTCAGCTGCTTATTTCCAAGTGAGAAAAAAATCCAAACATTTGGGGAGGATGATTATTTTTTTTTTTTTAAAAAAAAAACTCTGATCAATGACCTGGTCTACAGCATCACGTCATGAACTGTTCATCACACCTGAGGCTACAGGTGGGTAGGAGGAACGAGCAGTCGTTGCAGGAAGGGATGGTCTGCAACCAACATCCTCGCTGGAGATAACGCTGGCAGGAACGCCATCCCTAGGGACAGTTCAGTTGCTTCTAAGCATATGCAAATTATGATAATCTAATTAAAGAGAACTGATTTCTACAAGTCATTAATAATGTATTCATAATTCTTGTCTTTACTTCATAACTGTAGTGTATTACAGAGCCATCCTACAGAGTACGATGTACTTAAATGTAAAGACGTACCTTTAAAGCGATAATAGTGTTTGACATACTAACCTGGCCAGTAGTACATAAAGACATTCTTTTTTTCTTTCATCATTGTGACCCACAAAGGCTCTGATCCATTCCACCAGAGAGGTAACAGGCTTTCTTTATTCACACCAATATCGAAAGATACATTTGTAGTTGGGTCCCACATGTAATTTCCAGTCATCTGATGGACTTCACAGTGGCGACCTACAGGAGTGAGAAAAAAAGAGCATAATTAGATTTGTGTTCTCCAGAAGAAGGACACTAGTAGTACCACTACTGCTACTACATGCTCCTGTGAGACCACCTAGCAAATCAGGTGAAAAGCAGTGGTGTGAACTCAGTGGTGTGAACTTTTACCTTGCCACCATTCATGTAATCTTCTTGACCCCGTTACCTTCTATAAAGATTCACTGGGCAGCAGTCTGTATCCCTCCATTTAGCCATCTAAAAATTAACTGCTGAAGTCTTAGTCGCCTATGTTCCCTTCACACTCAGTGGAGAAAAGAGGCACCTCTAGATAATTCATGTCATCCTGAGATAAGCATCTAATATATCCGGGAAAGTTATCCTCTGGAGGTGCATGTTACTTTCTTTTAATTATAGAAAAAGGTCACATAATTAGCTCAGTTTGAGACAGCCGACTTCTAGACAGCTAAAGCGAGAAGAAATGAATCCCACACCCACGGCCTAATCAACATGCTGTACGCAGCCTGCACAAACAAACCACTGCAGCAGCAGCCCGTGCGGATGCCACATGTTCGACTGACGTTTGGCTCCTTCTAAGTACACAACATCTGCCAAGTCTGAGGCTATTTTAAGGTACTCGCCAGCACACAGACCCAGAGGACTGCAGGAAGCAGTCTGTAAACAGGAAGGGATAAAAAGCATGCTCTGGAAACATAGAATAAAGTTTGGGGAACTTGCATTTCCCTTCTCTTTCATCTAACGCTTAACATGCATTGCTCAATACTGATATTTAGACATCACAGTTCATTTAATAGTGCTTGGAAGAGGGTCGAAATAATTATTAAAAAAAAAAAAATCAATAAATCAATAGAAACTCCTCAAAGATGGCAAGGAGCAAGGGAATCAGGTGTGATGTAACAAGGGGTAGACCTGTCCTCTCCATCCTCGCCCTGCTGCACAAGGCTACTGAGTTCACTGAGACTCTTCCTACAACCAGACCTACACAACAGACCCCAAGCAAGCCGGCATGAGCTCTATATCCCTATATAATCCCGTATTTCTTAGGCACAACCCACAGATCCACAGGAAATCAGGCCAGAAGGTCCAAAGACGCAAGGTTCTCCCAGCATATTCACTGGGAGGATCCTCCTCCCCCTTTTTTATTTAAAAAAAACAAAAACAAATATAGGCCACTGTAGTTTTCTACAACCTAGTCTAAAACTTTTATATATTACTTCTATCTTCCATCACTGTTTGCTGGGGGTTTTGCATGCACACACTTTGTTCTTGGTTGTGGAGATTGCAATCACTTTATCAGACTTTTCAGCTGTCTTACAGCTTCTTTGGGGGTCCATGGGCAATTTTGTATCACAAGAAATTAGTGTGTATTTCCTGAGAGATATCTTCCATTTCTTCTCATTGTCAGAAGAGAAGATACAGTATTTTAAGAATTAATCTGCAGGTGAGTTAACAAAGATGAAAGAAGGAACGTTGAAGAGCAAGTTGTATTGAAAGTTCACTATTTCCACATCCTGAAAAGAAATAACTGATATATGTGTGAGACACTTTCGTCATTAGCCGGTGAGTCACAGATATTGTGAGGATCGGGATAACAGCCTTTGATTACTGTGAGAATAAGTGTGGTGAGCAGAACTGAAATAACCTCAAGATGCTTTGTTTTAAAAAGGCATAATTTTGAGCTCTGTAAACTTTGTGTACATATCACCTTGGAACGGATTTTGAAAATACTTCATAGTAGGGGAAGGGGATTTTAATTATGCAAAATATTTCCTCCTCCCCAGTATAGAAAAGTAGTCCCAGTTTGTGGCAGCCACTAATATTCACCATATTAAAACAAACAGGTTTAATATATGAAAACTGGTGGACTGGAGGGGAAGATATCTGTCCTCCTTAGGCTGCCAATAGCTTTCTTTGCTGTAAGTCTAAAAAGTGCTGGTAGCAAGCCTCTCTAGCACATAAAAACCCCAGCCTTGCTCCTTGGAGGAGAACTACTTCTCTTCAGCTTCTTGAAGTCCATACGCTCCTGAGCGTACACCAACGTGGCAAACTGCGTGCAGGCAGCTGGTGCCAGCCTAGGAAACCTGGAGATCGGTGCTGAAGCTGTTAGGCAGATCATGTATTTATATATTATATACTCTTCATACAAAAACAATGACCTAGCAGCTGCTGCTGATGCAAACTCCATGTAGGACTTCAGAGCTACCATCAGTTTGCCCACCTCTTTAAGGGACAGAAAAGAGATTGTTCTCTGCGGTGTGGTTGGGAAGTTTAATTAACTGTGTGTAATAGTACAGAGGAGAGTATTATTCTGATCATCACATTGGATGAGTTCATTCTTCTCTTTTTTTACTGCTGCCTTCACTTTTTTTTTTTTTTAAATCTATTTCAGTTGCTATCTTGCAAAAATATGCTGTATGTGCTGGATTTCAAAGAGCTTCTATATGCAGATAATTATGCTCTTGGAGAAATTCTACAATTATAAATAATTGCAATACATATACAACACAGAAAGTAAGAAAGATTCAAATTTACCACAACTTACTGTATGAGAAGGTATACATATTTTTCTAGTTCACAGATTCAAAAGCCAGAAGGGACCATCAGATCAGCAGACCAACTGTAAGGCATGACCATTTAATGCTGCCTGGAGCCTGTGCTCCAGAAAGGCCCCAGACCTCCCTGGAAGACCCAATAAGCAACTAATCCTCCTTTCTTGGATTGCTCATCCCAATAGTTTCTCATCAGCAAACACTGTTCAAAAAGTATGTCTGCTTTCTAATTTGATTTTGCCCTGTGTTAATCTTCAGCTATGGCTATTCTGTGCCTTGCCCGCTTGATTAAAGAGCCCTGTAGTAGCTGGCACGTCTCCCCCTGAAGACATTTGTGCCCAGAATTAAGGTTTCCTCTCAAGTTTCCTTTGGGTCACCTGCACAATCTGAGCTCTTTACATCCTCTGTTTTAAGTTATTTTTTCCAGCCTGAGAAAATGACCTTTGGTGGTCTCCTTTTTAATGATTAGCAAAACAGCAACATGGTGTTAGACAGTCCCCATAACATGCTGAATTTATTATTGCTTCCATTACCATAACTTTCCTTTGTAATCAAACATTAACTTAGGAGTTTCACAGGCAGCAACAGGGCAAAAAGCAAATGCAGATGTCGTTAGTTATAAGTGACTACAACTGTAGTAAAAAAAACAACCCTTACTCAAGCAACAGCGAGAAACAAAGTCAGTACAGTTCCCAAGACTATGATAACTACTGTATCCTTCTGGAAAAGAGCCAGCAAAAGCATTTGCAAATCTGCACGTTGCAACTTACTTGGACACAACACTTTTTACAGCATTTAGCTTTCTTTAAAGCACATTCCCATGTCTCCAGGCATTTTTGTCAGCATTTGACAAAAAAGATGCAAAAAAGATTAATTTTTAAAAAGAAATACACAACCAGTTGGCCACTCAGAGCAACTGCACAGTAACACTGATTGCTGAGCACCCCACATTGACCACATGGGAGGTTTTGAAATCAGAGGATGTACTCCTGTCACATTTGCCCGCTCCCCAATGATCTCTTCCTGCTCTCGCTGCTCCAGGTCTCAGAGTGGTCTCTCACTGATTGCAGGGATGGCAAGTAGGATCGCTACCTGATACGATATGTCATACAGGTAGCACCTGTGTTTAAATCTGCATGAGAAAATGCTCTTCTGAGATCCTCAAATATCTTTTTCTTTTTTTTAAAAAGGAAGGCAGCACATGACAGATGTGTGACACTATACCTGGTGCACTGGGCTACAAAACAGAGGTAAGTTATCTTTGCACTGAGCAGATCAGATTTATCTGAGAGCCCAAAGTGCATACGTTAGTAAGCACAGCAAAGGTACCATAATCTATGCACATACAGTATCCACCCAATGATAAACATAAATACCTATGTATGTAATATGCATGTAAATATCTATGCATGCAATATTATATGCATGCCCTGCAGCTGCAGTGAGGCCTTTTCTCCTGAGTCCCCAGCATGCCGGGGGACTGACAAGAGCTGGGAGGGAATGAAGCAGCCTCAGGCTGCTGTGGGGCTAGGTAGTCTGAGAATGAGCTGAATTCCTCAGTCTGAACAGCTGCTGGTGTTTAATGAGGGCTTCCTCAGGGAGCCCAGGGCCCTGAAGGGGTCTCTGAGCTCCAGAAGAGGTGCCAAGCCCAGAGGGCTTCAGCAAGCGCATCTAGAACCACACAGACAAGGGGTCAAATCCTGGCCCCATTAAAGTAACTGCCCAGACCCCTGCTCTGTCAGAGTTTCAATCCAAACCATACCCATTTCAAGGGGCAGAAAGGAGATACATTTTTTAATTGTCTAAGATGGTGCTGTCCATATAAGTAGAAGATTAATGGTCCAAGTTCAACAGCTGGCGAGGGTACACTGGTTCAGATAAACCAGTGCAGGACTTGCTGCTATAATCTGCATATATATATGCCCATATATGAATATATATGCATGTAATGTGTCTATACAACAGGAAAAACAGTAATTCTGCCCATTTCTCTGGACTTTTGGAATTCCTGTAGTTCTGCCTCCTGACTTAAGTCAATTGGCACTGACCGGTTGTATGTTATTGTTTTTACTAGAGCCATGCTCTACGGCACCAAATGAAACACCCACCTACCTCTGCAAGGCCAAGCCCAAGCAACGCTACGAGCGAGTGCCATCCCTACTAGAACTGAGATGACCAACCATCAGGGGTGGAAACAAGGCCAAAAGAGACTTCCCTAGGCTCGCATACCAGTGGGAGAAGTAAATGATGCCTCACCTGCCTAACTACGAGATCCCACTGTCTTTCTGCTGCTCCTTTTGTGCTGGACACACCACTAGGACTGCCCAGCATCTCCCAGTGCTCCCCAGAGGCAAGGAACATGCGACATATCATTACTGCCTTCATGAACAAGTATGAGGAGCCGTTCCACGTGATCTGATGGTGGTACTTTTCTGAGCCTGCAACAAG